ACCCTAACCCTAACCCTAACCCTAACCCTAACCCTAACCCTAACCCTAGCCCAATTCACATGGCCCATGGAATCCCATAGCATAGGGCAGTTACCATCATGTGGTAAAAGAAAAAAAAGTGCATGGAGTGACTTGTGCCCCGTCCACAACCATGATGCAGTCTTCAAGAATCACCTACATAGGAATGTGGCCTTTGGTGAAGAAAAGGGGATTTCTGGTTTGGATCTATTCTTGCCCATAAAGTACTCAAGCAGAAAAGCAAACTACATAATGAGAATTGCTTTTACCTGTGTCAACATATGGGCAGATTGTAAGATGAGGTGATTCTGGGGATGGTGTAAAAGGTTACCTGTTTTCCTAAACCAAACTGTGACTTAGGCACCACCTTTTTGCAGAATTTATCCAAAGGTTCAACAAATAAACCCTCCTTCCCAGCTGCTAGGCTGCAATTGAATGTTGAGCCAATTCTGACAGGCTGCTAATTACATTAAATTCTCTCACTAACATTACATTGTATGATTTGAATGAAAGCTTTTTTCTAGGGGGATTCATGGGATGAATAGATAGAGACAAAAAGTAGAGGGGGTACAATTAGTTTGTCTAATAGGAGGACCAGGAGAGCAATTGCTAAACAGCAGACATGAATTACCATTCTCTCTCATTACCTATTTTACCACAGTTTCAAGCAAGCCAAAAATTATACCTAAATCTCTTTGCCAGCACCTCTGCCCCAGCTGTGCTTCTAAGGTCCACCTGCCTCTGTACAGCCTAAATCTAGTCTCAACATTTTTGGTTATAATTACAAATTGTACTGAATCACAGTTTATCAAATAGTGATTTGCTGAATAAGCAGCAATTGGCAGGTTCACCCATTCTCCTAAACCATGAAACATAGTTTGCAACACAAGACCTAGTAGATGCAAGCCACACCTTTGTTGCAAACTCAACTTTGAAGTGGAATGAAGATGCTACTTCCTAATAAGCGCTTATGATCAAAGAACCTGCTTATTTAAATCAGATATCATACTATCACAGGGTGGTCTAAGCTTCACCAAGCCCATGAAACTGAAAGCAGAGGCAAATGCTTTAGGATGCATCCCCCATGGTCAGTGATGCTGCCATGTAGTGTTAAACACATGCCTCTGTACAACCGTCTAAGAGACTCTTTTCCCAAACAGATTTTGTCCATCTGATTTAGATGACCAGAAGATGCCTGCAGAAGGTTCCCTCTTATCAGATGATACATTATGAGAGGATAAGCTGGTGGGCATTCTTTGTGAACAGCTACCCCCACCCCCCACCCCCAACAAGGATGGCTCCACACAGCCTTTGGAGCCATTAGCACTAACCTTATATTTGAACTTGTATTACTGTGTTTATTATACTTTATTATTGTTATGTGATCTTTTTAAATTTGATTATCAGTAATGCCACCTAGTGTCCTCTTGAATTGAGGCAGCAGATAAATAATTCAATAAATAATCTGATGTTCCCTTTTGGTCTTATTTTTATAATGCTGCAGAAATCCTTCCATGAATGGACCTTTGTTTAGGCCAGTAGCTGACAGGATGAGTTATACAGTAGGATGAGACCATTTTCTAGCATCCTTCAATATCTTTATGCTAGCTTAACATAAAGGAGAGTTTTTGGTAGCACTACAATAAGATTAAATGACCAGAGAATTCAAATTCCTTAGCCTGGATTTGTCAATGAAACAAGATGATGAGAGACAGAATGTCATATAATTACTAAGTTTAGGTTTCTATTGCTAGACTTGCTGCAAGTTACCTGCAATTGTTCTGGAGCCCAAGATGCTTGGTGGGAGATCATGGGATGAATGGTATGGCACTCAAGTTGGAAAAAGTGATAACTGCAAAAATTACACATATTCTTCTTGCACACCAGTGCTTTACATCAAAGTGCATCTTTTTGACACTTTGCAACAGAAAAGATGTTTGTGTCAATTAACCTTTTCAGAAGCATCTTTTAGAAGGGAAATACTAGTGCATTGAAAATTTTAAAAAGTAAAGACTGATCCTAAAGTCAAGTTGACTTCCTGTGGCTAGATGGACATGCCCATTTAGGTTTTTTTAGCAACTATATGCAAATACTTTGCCTTTGCCTTCTGGGATATTCTGGAATATTTTTTCAATTTCCCAATCCCCTAGAATTTCCCATCCAAGTACTAGCCATGATCAAACCTGCTTAATTTTTTTTTTAAGAACAGACAATGTCTGCTAAATGCTGGCCTTTTAAATTCACTGAAATTCCAGTAACATATTCATTCCTTTTCAGAATCAATATGCATGTCACTCACACTACTGGTTTTTAAAATAACACATAAGACACATTTTATGGTTGAAACGTGCTTTGCCATTTTTCATTACAGTTACAATAATTAATTACAATAATGCTAGAAAATTTGGTCACAAACATAACACTCCAAGTCATTAGTGTAAATTTCATTCTAACTCTCCTACAATGGAGAGGTCTTCTATCTCCCAATCAATATAACTGATGTTACTAATGTAAACAATGAACGGACTTGGAGTATAGAACCATAGGGTTGGAAGGGACTTTGAAGGTCTTCCAGTCCTGCCCAGCGCAGGAATCAGACTATCCCAAATGACTGTCTAACATTTGTTTAAAAACCTTCAGTGATGGTTTTTAACCTATGACTCCAAGAGGCAGGCTGTTCCACTGCTTAATAGCTCTCATGGTCAGGAAGTTTCTCCTTATTTTGAATTTGGATCTGTCTCTGTAAAGCTTCTACCCATTGGCTCTTGTCCTACCCTTGGGCACTATGGAGGATAAATCTACACCCTCCTGCCTGTGATGCTCCTTCAAGTACTGGCAGCCTGCTATCATATCTCCCCTTAACCTTCTCTTCTTTCGGCTAAACATATAGTTATTTTAACAATTCCTTATAGGATTTAGCTTCCAAATCTCTCACCATCTTTGTTGCTTCTCTCTGCACTCTTTCCAGTTCATCAGCATCCTTCTTGTGTTGTGGCAACCAAAACTGGACATGGTATTCCAGGGATGGTCTGACCAGTGGAGCACAGAGTGGGATTATCATTTCCCATGATCTTAATACCTTTGTTGATGCAGCCCAAGATTACATTGGTTCTTTT